AACTTTATGAATTTAGTCATTTTTCATCAAAAATTTGCTCTGTGCCTTTCTTTTAACTTTTGCCTATAGAGATTTTGAAAGTAGCTACCAGCTCAATTATGTTTTCAGAAGTTACTAGAGTGTTTATAAAGTAAAAATGCAATAATTTTGATTGTGATTTATTAAGTAAACTAAATGATTAGCATTAAGGGGCCACATTTTTATTGATTTTCAGTCCTCTTGGATTCAAATAGAGTATAATAAAACGTTGATGTCCAGCAAGGCAGGCCTCGGAATATTTTAGTTCTTTAAATATATATAATCATTATTAAGATTGGCATTTACTATCAGTTGTAATAATTATTATCAACTGTTTGTAATTCTTAAGATCAATTGACTTTGTAAGATAAAACTGAATATTATTTATAATAAGTTCATGAATTATTGTCTAAGGCAGTGATTTGACTGTGAACAGAAGCAGCTTCGAGCTCACAGCTCTCTCTTTATCACCCCCCCTTCACTGAATGAGTCCCCACTTTTCTATGTGCTCCTTCATGTTTTCAGCTCCAATCATTCTTAATACAGTGTAAACAGATGATATCTTAGTTTCTCTGAATGTTCTGAGGATTGTAGTGCTATGATCACTCGTTACACACACTACAGATACATCAGGAGTGTGTGCTGGGCCGAAACACATGCAGCGTATGAAATCTATGGAGAGTCACAACAGAAACATCATATCAGGATACTGAGTGGATTTTGTGTCATTTTCCAAGCAGGATTATGGGCAGGTACTTCTTTGCAGGTTGTTGAACTCTGGGTTGAGAGGACATGGTCTGCTGAGTGTTCTGATATGTGTATCATGTCTGTATGTTTGATGGTTTTTGAGTTATGAAGCCTAAAAAAACAGATATAGTATCACGATTTTGGGTGGTTTTTCGAATTAAAGTCCACTAATGCTTAGCCACGGCTTGATGAACTCACTCTGACTACACAGGGCAGAGTCTGCTGTTTGCTTTGATATAGGTATGTCTATAAGATAAACCTTTTCAAAGTTATTAAGTCCCACTTCCTGTGAGTTTGTTACTCCTGCATGTCCACAACGAGTCCAGTGAGTCACTACAATTTGATAATATTTTGTATGATACTTAATGTTTATTTTAGTGAGCTTTGGCCAAAATCCTGGTACAACCTTAGCGGTTGCTGACAGACATTACTTTGCAAGGGACAACAGAGACCCTCCCCCAGGTCTGATATGATTGGCTTGCAACTTACAATGTCTGATATGATTGGCAGAGCCAGGCAATCCACTTTTCTACAGCTAACAAGAGAGAATTGCAGTGTCCTCTTCTGTTATGTTATGAAATCTTTGGTAGCTCAGCAGAGACAGTGCTGGATAAGAGCAGCAGCAGTACCTCCCCAGCTTGCACCCTGCCTTCTCAGTGTGTTGTGAATATGGAGCCATGATGGTAAGATGGAATGAGAAAACAATAGATGATTTGGACTAAAGCCCCCTAAAACTGGCCTAGTGATGCCCCAGTGGGGGGCACTGGGAATGGGAAATGTATATTGAGCTTGTATGCATGAGACTGTCTTATGATTCAGTTATTGCTCTAGGCTACTGTGGCGGTGGAGAGATGGAGCCGCCGTGACCACTCCCCACAAAGGTGCGAGCTGCTCCTCTGCCTTCATTTAGCGCAGCTGTGCCTAATGAGGAGAGGAGCACCGACACCCTTAAATACGATCTCTCTAGAGAGTAGCAGAGGACGCTGGCCTCCAGGCCAAACGCACGCCAGCGAGAGCGAGAAGAGCAGGGACTCTTTGCAAGCCGGCGTTGAGTTAACTTTCGGTTTTGGTTTTGTTTAAATGTGTAAATAAAGCATGTTTGTTCACTCGCGCTGGTGGTTGTGTGTGAGCTCTTGAGTTTCCCGGTCAGTGTGCGTTGGCCCCTCCCCCGGCCGAGCTACATTGGTGGAGAATGCGGGCACCGCCCCTTTCTGGGCGTGTTCTGTGACTGGGAACCGAGCAAGACTCGGAGGCACGCCGCAGCTCCTGCGTGAGTGGCGTTAGTTTGGTTTTTGTTTCCCTTAAAAATGAAGAAAAATGCCGAGAGGGAAGAAAGCAAACAAAGGGCAGAAGAGCAAGCAACCAGCTCCCATCCTCACTGACTCTCTGGACTGCCTTTATTGGGTCTGGAGCGGACTGCTGGCTAGCTCGTTTGACGAGCAGCGGGTGGGCGGGGCTACCGGTCCCTACACCCACGGAGGGAAAGCGGCACCTTGCGCCGCCAGAATGGGGCTGGTGCACATGGTGTTTTGGGAATAAACACCTTGCCGAGGACTGCACCAGCGGGAAGAAGGCGCTTTGCTGCTGCTGTGTGCTCCCAGGGGAATCAGACGATGACGATGACGATGTGGAGTGGGTCTTCGGGCCTGGAAATCTTCTAGAGCTCTGAAGAGTGCCCAGGAGCCGCCACCTGGGTTTCCCCACATGCTCTCCGGCGGCCCGGACCTCGCCTTACCTTTGACCCTGGTGACTGTACTCTAAGGGGAGAAATGTGGCGGTTTTAATTTGATGCCAGCAGTATATTTAAAAAAAGCAGGGACAGCAGCATGTTTATCACTGCATCTCCTCTTCTTTTAACATCACTCTGCTCAAAGTGTTTGAGACCTGAGGAGACACTGCTGTAGTTTAGAAAGTGCAATGATTTTCCATTCTTTAGCACCCTGACTCTTATTATGGAGCAATGCTGTTGTAATATGTGCAGAATGTGGTTTAGCATTGTCTTGCTGAAATAATCAAGGCCTTCCTTGAAAAAGATGTTGTCTGGATGGCAGCATATGTTGCCAAAACCTGAATAAATTGTTCAGCATTAATGGTGCCTTCACAGATGTGCAAGTCGCCAATGCCATGCACACTAATGCTGCCCTATACCATCATGGATGCTGGCTTTTGAGCTGTGTGCTGATAACAAGCTGGATGGTCCCTCTCCATTTTAACCCAGAGAATGTGATGTCCATAATTTCTGAAAGGAATTCAAACTTTGATTTTTTAGACCACAGGACACTTTTCCTCTTCGCCTCAGTCCATCTTGAGCTTGGGTGGTGGTGTTTCTGGATCCTGTTTGTGATTTCTTCTTTGCATTGTAGAGTTTTAACATGTGTGTGCATTAACGTTGTGGATACACTGATGAACTGTGTTCAGACAGTGGTTTTTAGAAGTGCTCCTGAGCCCATGCAGTGATTTTGACTACTGTTTGTAATGCAGTGCTGCCTGAGGGCCCAAATGTCATGACTGTCCAATAATGGTTTTCAGCCTTGTCCCTTGCATACTGAAATTTCTCTGGATTCTCAGAATCTTTTAATAATATTCTGCACTGGAGATGATGAAATCCCCAAGATCTTTCTTGGGAAATGTTATTCTTGAATTGTTGTACTATTTGCCCATGCAGTCTTTCATCCCTCCCCATCTTTGCTTCTGAAAGACTCAGACTGTCTCGGATGCTCTTTTTATACCCAATCATGTTACTGACGTGTTGCCAATTAACATAATTTGATGTGAGATGTTTCACCAGGTGTTTTTAGCATTATATAAGTTTACTAGTCTTCCGTTGCCCCATCCCAACTTGTTTGAAAAGTATTACTGGCATCAAATTTAAAATGGGCATATTTTTTAAATATACATTATCTTATATTGCATTCTGTTTATATTTGCACAGCATCCCTTCAGGAAAAAACTATTGAGATTTATCATCTCCCTCCTTTTTCAACTGCACAAACCTAAATTTGATAAAGTCAGCAAAGTCCTGTTAGAATTCAGAAGAGGGCTATGGTTGCCTGTAGATTGTGATTAATGAAAAATAGATACATTACTGGCATTTTAATATTATGTCCAGCACTTCTAATTTTAGGTGCTGTCACTGCGAATTGGATGGACTAGTCTAATATTCATTAGATCAGTAAAACAAACTTTTTGAGGTTTTCTGAAATTGTTTTATTCAGACAGTCAGTCTCAACTGAGTAGAACGTATTTGGCATCTCCAGGCAGCTAGCAGGCAGTCAGTTTAGCCTGTTTGCTGCTGAGGAGTGGAGTAGCGGAGCAAAACTGTTGGACACGTGAATGGGAGAGGAGCGGTGCTAGCGTGGGGTAGCTTTAGCGTTAGTGGCTGTGCCGCTGAGGCGCTTGTCCCACTCTGAGGGCTCTGCTCCCGATGACAAAGGCATACTAGCTCTCCCTGAAGCACATGGAGCTTCTAACAGTGAGTCTAGCTGTATAATCTTCATCTTTAAAGGAAGTAATTCTCACTTTTTTACCAATTAAGTTAGTAACGCTGCTGTCACTAGTGACGGGAAAAGAGGAATAACTAAACATGTTGCACTAAACATGTTACACTGTGCACTGAGCTTTTCCCTAAAAGGTCTTGAGGAGCAATGAAGAAATAGCCTCTGAATATCTGTGATTCAATTTCTTTTTACAAAATATTATGTAACTACAAGTGAAAAAGGGAGCTATAGACTAATAAACACTAGAGCACAGAGACAGAAACATTCCTTCCAAGCGATTCCTAAAAATAGGAACTCCGTCAACAGAAACACTACATCCTCCATTCCCAACATCCACCATTCATTCTCCACCATTTATTATTATTAGTGGTGTTATGTTTTTAATTAAGTCAAGAAAGTGAAATAAAATTATATAAAGGTATTTTTGCACTTTTAAGCCCCTTGCAATAAATGCATTAAACATTTAGAACGTCAGCTGCTTCATTTAAATCTGAAACATCCTGTTTCTCGAGAAACTGCATACCACACCAGCTTTACAATCTAAGATTTCTATCCTTTTATATATTATTTGTTTTATGATTATCTCTATTGTGCTATGAGCCAGAAAGTGTCATGCTATATTCGGTTATTCAGTTATTAAAGGGTTAAATGCAGGTGAGTGATCTCTATCAGACACACCTGTTCAACTGTCAGTTCTAACACTCAGAACCAGGAAACTGTCTCTGTTCTTCAGTTCAGAGAAACAGAAACTTCATTCCACAGTGGAGCTGCTGCTGTATGGATCTCTGACTGCGCTGGTGTTTCTGTCGTGGTGATTGTGTATCTGCAGTAAAATGGCCAGTGTTTCAGTGGATCAGTTCAGCTGTCCAGTCTGTCTGGACGTCCTGAATAATCCAGTGACCACTCCCTGTGGACACAGCTTCTGTCTGGTGTGTATTAATGGCTGCTGGGATCAGGAGGATCTGAAGGGGGAGTACAGCTGCCCTCAGTGCAGACACTCCTTCACTCCAAGACCTGTTTTATCCAAGAACGTGATGCTTGCTGAAATGATGGAGAAGCTGAAGATCTCAGCACCTGCTGAGTTGGTGGATTGTGACGCCTGCATTGGGAGAAAACTCAGAGCCGTCAAGTCCTGCCTGGTGTGTCTGGCCTCGTACTGTGAGACTCACATCCAGCCTCACTATCAGTCTGCTGCCTTTAAGAAGCACAAGCTGGTCAAAGCCTCCAGATGCCTCCAGGAGCAGATCTGCTCTCAGCATGAGAAACATCTGGAGGTTTACTGTCGCACTGACCAGCAGTGTATCTGCATACTGTGTACCATGGATGACCATAAAGGACACGATACAGTACCAGCTGCAACAGAACGAGCTGAGAAACAGGTAAGAATTGCATTGTCTTTTTTTTTTACTTCTGCTTAAAATGAAATAGAGCTAAATGTGATACATAAACACTTTGTACATTATGGAACCCGAATGAGTGCTGAACACTGAAAAAGATCTGTACATTTCAAACTGGTTACTGCAGATTTTTCTAGTCCAGCCTGCCAAGCCAGTTTTCCATACCAGGATCTTATCTAACCAGATATATTACCTTTTCTGTTAAACAGTGGCTCTGACCTGAAACATTACACATTCCATTCCAGTAGCACCAGCAAAAAGACTGAAATCTTTAATTAATGATTCAATAAACTGGGATTTTCAGGTTAAGTTTATGGGCAATATTATATGTGTGAATGGATTATGGCTTGTGTGCATTATTAAATGTTTGTGTGTTGTGTGTTTCAATAGAAGAAGTTCGTGGAGACCAAGAGAGAATTCCAGCAGATAATCCAGGAGAGACAGAAGGAAGTCGAGGAACTGAGGAAGGATATGGAGTCTCACAAGGTGAGTTTGAAGCAGAGCAAGACAAGAGCTGATTTCTAGAAAAGGACTGATCTGTTTGACGATCTGTTAGGCAGCCACACAGAATCCACCCAGCAGCCAAAAGTGTTTCAGCACTGATAATCCAAATATGGTTACATTGAAATTGGGCTGAAACTCACAATATTATCAACTTCATCCACAGAATGCAGGTTCTGTGTTCTGGTGAAAAATTCTGACACATCTCATCTCTCTGTGCTCGAACAGTGCTCAGACAGCAGTGGAGAATACTGAGAAGATCTTTACTGAACAGATAGATGGATGTAGTGATTGATCTGTCTGTATCAGACTCTCCTCTCTCTGCTCTAACAGCGCTCTGCTCAGACAGCAGTGGAGAACACTGAGAAGATCTTTACTGAACTGATCTGCTCCATTGAGCGAAGACGCTCTGAGATATCAGAGCTGATCAGAGCTCAGGAGGAGGCTGCAGTGAGTCGAGCTGAAGGAGCCCTGAGGAGACTGGAGCAGGAGATCTCTGAGCTGAGGAGGAGGAACACTGAGCTGGAGCAGCTTTCACTCACTGAGGACCACATCCATTTCCTCCAGGTAAAAGCACCACCAAGAACCTTCACCAAATACACTCAAAGCTTGAATTGAAGGGGCTGGAGCGCCCATTTACTGGCATTTTAATTCAATAACTAAAAGCAACTCTTGGTCTGTGTTAACCTTACAAAATTAAATCTTGTATATTTAGCTTAAGCCTAAAATTTTGAAGCAAGTTATTAAAGCTGTTAAAGACTCAACTAAATATTAACATATTAAACATTGTTACACCAAAAAATATATTGTAGCATCAGCATAGAAGAAAACATGAAAAACATTTAGCATGAAAACACAACACACTGGGATAATGCAGGACAACACGACACTCAGAGAGGGTAGGTACTTGTAACTGCTAGTTAACTGCAAAGCCCACCCTCCTCAAACACAATTACTCCAGTAAATGCAACTTTAAACCAACAACAACAGCATCAACAACAGAACAATGACTGTCCTTGTTACACCGGGAGTGTGGTGCTTCCACAGAGCCATGTTGCATGGCCTGAGCCCCTCATGGCAGCACCGTCTTTGGCAGACACCACAATATTTTCTGCAGATCTGCAAATTGCTACTTAGTTTCATCCTCAGTACATGTGCAGAAAGATTTGTAACACTTGTAACAATGATGGACTAGGCAGGTTGTTAGGATCCATGAGCAGGCTTTATTGTGACAGACAAAGGTACAAAAAACAGTCCAAAAACAGATTCGGGGTAGAGCAGAGTGTCAGAGGCCAAAAAGACAAAACGGATCCAAGACAGAAAAATCTAAGACAAAATCCAAAACTCAGAGTCAAAAAAGGGTTAGCCAAGATCAAAAAACCACGAAGTCAAAACGTTACAGAGAAAAGGCTCAGGACACCAACAATGCTTTACAATAGGTGGAACGAGAGTGTGAGTATTTATAGGGGAGTCGATGAATGGAATTTGACAACATGTGTGGGTGAGTGGCAGTCAGAATTCAGAACTCAGTAGTAACAAAACAAGCTAAATTACAGCCAAAAGTTGTCCTAAGGATATCGAATTCTGGAAGCTCTTTTAGATAGAGTTTTCTTTTATATGTCAGCTTTTGGTCATTACCGTTTTGTTGATGTGTCATACAGTGGTAGTGTGTTTTTTTTATTCATCTGACATAATCTTTAATCCATAATTGGCTTTACTTGTCATCTAGACAAGACCTCACTCATGAAGTCTCCCTATTTTTGTCCCAAGTTCTCTCTGGCAAGGTTTGTAGCACTTGGTGGTATGTCTCCTCTGGGACAGCCTCCTTCTGGAAATATGATGCTTCTTCAGCAGCCATGGGTGGTTCAGGGAGAGTTTTTCAAATATGCCCTGTTTCCCAGCAGTTCTTCCTCCCCTGCCTGAACAATGTAGGACCATGTGCTTTTCTGAGCACAGTAGCTGGCAAATCAGAGCTAGAGCTCCACACTGCTTGACCCTGATTCAGTACTGGCATATTAGTGTCATTTGTTAAAGTTCAGTGACTAATCTATTTTCAGTTTGCCATCCTTTTGGTCAGTCCCTCCATTTGGGCCACTGTGGTTTAAGATGGCCTTCCAAATTGGGCAGCAGGGAATGGAACCTCCGTCCCTCTAAAAGCTTGGCTGATGAGGGACCATGTAGCAATGGTGTAACCCTGTAGGCCAGTAGTGTCTTGTATGGTTCATCATTCTTAAACAGTGAGATTCCTAAGCAAAAGCTCTCTCTGTTTCCCCATTACTTTGGCTAAAGTATGGGTTATTTGTTACATGCTCATTATACTCTGATAAGGAAAACTGTGGTCTATTATCACTTGTTAGCAGTTCTGGCACACCATTCCTAAAGATGAGACCTGTTGTGATTACTCCTTTGGCTGTGGTGATTGCTATCTGGTGTCAGAAAGTGGAGGATGGGCTTTGACCCAGATTTTCTGTAAAGTGTCTTTGTGCTATATAGCTAAACTTTGACTTGACTTGGCTCCATAACCAGTATATATCATTCAGTATTAATAGTGCTTTCAGACATGTGCAAAACACCCATGGCATGTGCTCTAATGCACCCCTAAATCCTCACTGATGCTGGCTTTTGATCTGTGCACTGATAACAAGCCTAATGGTCCCTCTCTTCCTTAGCCTGGAGGACACGGCATCCAGGATTTCCAAAAAGAAAAAAAATGTCAAAGGCTTTTTGGAAGTGTTCCTGAGCCCATGCGGAGATTTCCACTACAGAATCTTGTCTGTTTTTAATGCACTACTGATCACAGCTATCAAATTTCAGTTGGCCTTGTCCCTTGCACACTGAGATTTCTTCAGATTCTGAATCTTTAATGATATTATGCATTACAGAAGATGAAATCCCCAAGTTTATTATTTCTGTGCATTGAGAAACATTAAATGATCTGAATTGGTGCCCGATTTGCCTGCACAGTGTTTCAGAGTGGTAAACTCCTCCCCATCTGTACTTCTGAAAGATTCTTACACTCGTTTTGTATCCTATCTTGTGACTGACCTGTTGCCAATTAACCTAATAAGTTCTGAGATGTTCCATCAGGTGCTTTTAACATTACACAACTTTACTAGTCATTTGTTGTCTGGGTCCAAACTGTTTAGAAACATGCTGCTGGAATCAAATTTTTAAAAATTCTCAGTTTTAACATTTTTTCAAATCTTTTCAGTTAAATATATGGTTTAAAAGTGCACAAAGTCCTAACTTTTTTTGCAAACAAGTTGGTACAACATTATGTAATTGCTTAAGATGCTTAGCATTACCTGATTTAAAGCAGCTTGAAATAAACAATGAACTGAAACACAATAAATCTAGTAGACCTTAAAACCAAGAGCCACTTGGTCTCTATTAGCTCTTCTTAGATGAGAGTAAACTAATGTAAGATGTGTGTTTGAACTGTGGAACACTGTCTTGTTGTTTTTTGGTTCTCTGTAGAGTTTCCAGCCTTTCTCAGTTCCTCCTGGATCTGCAGGATTGACCTCCATCATATTCAGTCCTAATGACTCTTTTAAGGAGGTGTTAAACTCTGTGTCTCAGCTGAGAGAGAAAGTGGAGCAGCTCTGTGAAGAGGAGTTTAGAAATATCTCTAGTGGAGGTGAGAGATTACAGATGTTCTCAATCTTCTTTACTGGACATTCTGTAGTTCTCTGATAAATACAATGTAGAGTCCAGTGCCTGAACCTTGAGGCACTGCACAAGAAATGCTAAATCTTTTTGATGAATGATTTTCAAGTTTAAAACAATTGTTTATACTGACCCTACGCACAGTGAGGAGAATGGTTCAAGTGGATAAAGAATCTCCAAGGACTACAGATGGGGAACTGCAGACATTACTTACGTCAGAACGTCTCCCAAACCATAATCAAACTCCACCTATATAACCATAAGTTGTTTGGGGGGTTGCCAGAAGAAACCCTCTGCTGTCAAGGACCAACAAACTCAAGCTCCTAACGTTTGCCAAACATTGCTAGAACTTTCAATTGGACCATGTTCTATGGTCAGATGAGACCAAAATAGAGGTTTTTGGCAACATACACCAGATGTGATTTTGGCATAGACACAAATATAGCCGTGCAGAAAAGTACCCCATCCCCACTGTAAAATATGATGGTGGATCTGAGATGTTGTGGGACATCTTCCAAAGGCCCTAGAAAATTTTTTCTGACACATGGTATAACAGACTCCATCAAGTACCAGCAGAAATAAAATCAAAACCTGACTGTCTCAGCCAGGAAGTTTAAACTGGGCCATAGTTCGGACTTTCAAGCAGGACAATGATCCAAAGCATGCCTCAAAATCAACACAAAAATGGTACACTGACTACAGCATTAAGGTTTTGCCATGGCCACCCCAGCCCCCTGACCTAAACCCCATAGACAATCTCTAGGATGAGCTGAAGAGGAGAGTCTACAATGTGGACCTTAGAATCTGAAGGATCTGGAGAGGTTCTGTATGGAGGAATGTTCTGAGATCCTTTGCCATGTGTTCTCCGGTCTCAGTAATTGTTACAGGAGAAGACTCAGAGCTGTTATCTTTGCAAAGGGAGGCTGCACAGTATATTAAGAGGAAAATGTCATCACATCTGAGTTTAGTGCAGCTTAGTTTTAATGTTCATCTAGTTTTGCTGAAAACAGTCAGTTATGTTAAAGAGAGAACGCTGCCATGGTTGCAATGGAGTTTTACTGCAGTAGCTCAGTAGCTACAGTAAACTCTGTCACTTAGATGTTTTATACAACCAGGCACAGTGCTGAGTGACTTAACACTGTTTTATCTTTTCAGTGAAAAAGATCCAGATGATTCTCCCTCCTGAACCCAAAACCAGAGCAGAGTTTCTGAAGTGTAAGATACACACACACACACACACACACACACACACACACACACACACACACACACACACACACACACACAATCCCCACACACACACACACACACACACACACACACAATCCCCACACACACACACACACACACACACACACAATATTAATATCCACACAAAGTTAAATACTTTCTGTGTTTCCTCTAATCTGTGTGTGTGTGTGTGTGTGTGTGTGTGCAGATGCTGTTGATCTCACTCTGGATCCAAACACAGTGAACAGAAATCTTTCTCTGTCTGAGAGGAACAGAAAGGTGGAGAATGTGTTTGAGGACCAGCCGTATCCAGATCATCCAGACAGATTTGAGTACTATGCTCAAGTTCTGAGTGTGGAGAGTCTGACTGGACGCTGTTACTGGGAGGTTCAGTGGAACGGAGATGGAGCTGATATATCAGTATCATACAGAGGAATCAGGAGGAAAGGAGTCAGTGACGACTGCTGGCTTGGATACAATAATCAGTCCTGGAGTCTGATCTGCTCTGATAGCAGATTTTCTGTCAGACACAATAAACAGGAAACTGAATTACCTGGCTACGCCTCCCGCTCTAACAGAGTAGGAGTGTATCTGGACTGGGGGTCCGGCACTCTGTCCTTCTATACCATCTCCCCTGATACACAAACACTGACCCACCTACACACACTCACCACCACATTCACTGAACCGCTCTACGCTGGATTCTGGGTTTATCCTGATTCCTCAGTGCATCTGTGTGAGATAGAATAAATTCTATACAGAGAAGCCTGCTGAGTTCTGGAGAAAAATAGTTCTAGAACACACAATCTCTCCTACACACACCACTGATGGACATGATGATGGAATTAGTAAACATTAGAGATATTTTTGATGTTTGTATTTTAAAAGCTCAGAACTCTACACAAACTTTACAATTCTTTGTTTTTTTGTTCTAGTGTTCTGCTACAGTGTAAATGAGGGTCCTCCTCAATGTACTCAGAGTTTAAATAAAGGTTGATTGGTTGACTGATTGACTCTACAGATCCTCACACACTAAGAGATAAATAAAACATCAGTTATCAAATTGTGGAAATGAAAGAGGGAGGGGTTTACACAATGAGGAAAAAAAGACATAGTTGTAAAAATATCTTTATTGTTATTATTCCATTTTACATTGAAGCCAGGGTTACAATGGGGGAGGGGGGTGTTACCAGACCTCCTGTAATACATCATCAGAGCAAAGCGTCAGGTACCATTGCTAAGCTGTTTTGTTTTTAGCCTAGCTTGTGGCCTGTTTTTAGCCAAACTGGGCAACCCAGCAGTGTTTTTACCTTTTTGAGCTTTGTTTTACTAAGCGCTAAATTTCTATCCGCCAGAACCCCTCCACTGACTACCCTAACTACAAACAGCTTATTTTATTTTTATCTATGAGTTGTTGTTGGGCCATGCCTCCCCTCAGCTCTCAAGCTGGTTGTGATGGCTGTGCAATGCTGAGCCAGAAGATGAGTGAACTTGAAGGAAGAATTTCTGTGCTCTACCAGATAAAAGATGATGAGGATCTCCTTGACTCCTTGCTGGCTACAACTCAGGTGTTCAGCAGTCTTCCCTGAGTGGCTACCATGGCTGTCCAGGATCAAGGATGTCTGGCCTCAGCTAGGAACTAAACCCAAGGCCAGGGAGGTGTGCTGCTCTACGCTGTGCCAGGCTGAGCCATGATGTATTGCAGGTGGGGGTTTGCAATTCCACCAAAGGTCCACCTAAGCAACAGATTCTCTGTGTTGGAAGAGCTGGAAGACACCACTCCTGCTGACAAACAGTCATCAGTGCAGAATGTCCAAATGAGCTCTCAATCCATGAACTTGATCCTTGCTCCATCCTGGAAGCCCACTGTGCCAGGGGGACCGCCATTCCACCTCTCAGCTGGATGCAGCTGGAGAGCCAAACCCCTGCCTACCTCCCCAGGCCATCTCTACCTTCTCCTTCACATGGCCACCCTGCTGAGCTACCTCACAGCTCCCACATGGACAGCCCGACCGCCGCTCCCTGCCATGGAATTCTATCGCGCTGACCCCTTGTCTCCCACCACCGTTGGTTACCGGGCCACAAATTCATTGTCCATCCCCACCTCAGCCTCGAGCGACCCGCCACCCTCCTCCATTCACACTCTTGTTTGTTAATATACACGGTGAATCATCTGTTCTCACAAAAGTAAAGTATGGTGTTCCACAAGGCTCTGTTTTAGGACCTGTATTATTCACATTATATATGCTACCATTAGGCACCATTATCAGTAAACACGGCATAAACTTCTACTGTTATGCCGATGACACTCAGTTATATTTAGCAAGTGACCCAGATGATAGAATTAAACTTAGCAAAATTAAAGACTGTATAAAAGACATAAAGGACTGGATGTCGAGTAACTTTCTCCTACTTAACTCGGATAAAACAGAGGTTCTGCTTCTTGGTCCAAAAGCAGCTAGAAACAAACTGTCTAATTTAACATTTAAACTTAACAATTTCTCAGTAGCATCAAGCTCACCTGTAAAAAAGCCTTGGTGTCATTATAGACCCTGATCTGTCCTTCGACGCACACATAACTAATATTACTAGAACAGCCTTCCTGCATCTCCGCAATATTGCTAAATTGAGAAATGCATTCTCTCTGCAGGATGCAGAAAAGTTAGTTCATGCATTTATTACTTCAAGGCTAAATTACTGTAATGCCCTGCTGGCTGGATGTCCCAACAAAAGCCTTAACAAGCTTCAATTGGTCCAGAATGCTGCAGCCAGAGTTCTTACAAGAACCAGAAAGTTTGACCGTATCAGCCCAGTTTTATCAACCTTACACTGGTTGCCAGTTAAATTTCGCATTGATTATAAAATTCTCTTACTGACTTATAAAGCTCTAAACGGACTCGCCCCTCTGTACCTGAGTGAACTTCTCTCTCACTATGAACCATCACGCCTACTTAGATCACAAGGTGCTGCTCACTAGTAGTACCCAGAATTAATAAAGTTACGTCAGGGGGGAGAGCTTTCTCATACAAAGCCCCCCGGCTTTAGAATAGTCTTCCTGTTAATGTTCGGGACTCAGCCTCAGTGTTTAAGTCTAGGCTAAAAACGTACTTGAATAGTCAAGCCTTTGTTAATTAGTTTTCCCTGTCAGTTCTATACCTGCCAGAGTCTCTTTGTGATCGGTCACCCATTACAGAACTGACTCTCTGTGTGTTTTCCTCTCTTGTGTGTTTTCCTTTCTTTTCTGCGCCGAGTTGAACAGCTGCCCATCCTGTGCGTTCTGATGCTGCTGCCTTTTCTGCCTCGATCGGGTGCCACTGCTCGCCAGCCCTCTGGACCGGCTTACCAACATTGAGCCTCCTGCTGTACAATGCCGTACAAACCTCACCCTCACAGCCTGACCCCACTGATACTACTGCTGTTGCTACATGAACTAATCAAAATTATTCACCTGTACCAATCATTTAAACTAATTCAAATTAATCAATCACTCATTACAGAACTGACTCTGTGTTTTTCCTTTCTTTCCTTTGCCGAGTTGAACAGCTGCCCATCCTGTGCGTCTGATGCTGCTGCCTCTTCTTCCTTGATCGGGTGCCACTGCTCGTCGTGCAAACCTCACCCCCACAACCTGACCCCACTGATGCTGCTGCTGCTGCATGAACTAAACTATTCAAATTAATTGTTTGCTCCTCCTTTTACCCTGTTTTTTTGTACTATAATGCTTTATACTAACAATGTTTTACTATCTGGTGTCGACCAGAGGAGGATGGGTTCCCCTTCTGAGTCCTGGTTCCTCTCAAGGTTTCTTCCTGTTTCCTAGGGAGTTTTTCCTTGCCACTGTGGCCACTGGCGACGCTCATGGGGGCTCGGACCCGGATTTCTTTTCTTTTTAATGCTGATTTCCTTGTAAAGCTGCTTTGTGACAACACCTGTTGTAAAAAGTGTTATATAAATAAACTTTACTTACTTACTTACTTACTCTTCTTTTAAGGAACAAAATATACAAATGCACTAAAATGGATCCATAATTATCTTAAGACAGACAACAATGCATAGCACTGAGCAATGACAAATCAGATTGTTTGACCATATCCAAAGGAGTACCACAAGGTTCAATTTTGGGACATATATATCGCTGTTGTCGGAAGAAAACCTTGCATCTCCATTTTTGATGTTTTCCAGTTTTTGACATAATTTGAAAATACCTGTTGCCCCTCTATTGTGTGTAAATTTCATGATGAATGGACCAAAAGAAACGGCCCAAAATGGCAAAAAATTCTGGTTCCGTTGCCTTACATTAAAATTATATATATATATATATATATATATATATATATATATATACATACATATTTACATTAATGAATTTGCTGCCTCTACCTCAGACTGCATAGTACACCTGTATGCTGATGACATGGTTTTATTCTGTTCAGCTGATTCTGTTCATGTTGCAATAAGTAAACTGCCGGCCTACATGTTGCTTTGTCTAAACTTGTTTTAAATACTAAGAAAACTATGTTCATGCTGTTTTCCAGATCTACTAATACTGATTTTGATACTGTAAATATCTCTACTCTGGCAGGATCCAACATTAAAAGAGTCAGAATATAAATACCTTGGCATATGGCTGGATGATAAATTCACTTTTAAATCCCATATTAATAAATTGGTTGGCAAATGTAGACAGAAGCTTGGTTTTCTATCTAGAAATAAATCCTGTTTCTCCACGTATGCAAGTAAAGGAATTGTTTAGGAAACCTGCCACTTCATTCTGCAATTAGGTTCATTACTGGAAACCCGTAAAACACTCATCACTGCAGACTGTATGAAAAAGTTGGTTGGCCCTCACTAGCAGCACGGCAGGAAACATACTGTTTTACTTATAAAACACTCTCCAGTCATATGCCAGAATATATTACTTCAATGATATCTGTAAATAATGGTAATTATCAGACTCGCTTCAGGGGCTGGATCACATGTAAGGTACCGAGAGTTTTTACTGAACTGGGAAAATCTGCTTTTAGTTACAGCACCAGCAAGCTGGACCTAACGACAGGAAAGACTAAAGCTCAGCTCGCTGGGTCACTCAGTCATTTTAAACTCTTACTCTCTAACCACCTCCACTCTGCCTGACACTGTTGCACTTGATTTTTACTGTTATTGTCTTATGTTCATTATTTCAGTTTAGTGGGTGTGCACGCTACAAGGAGAGAATTATCCATTACTGTTGTATGTCATGAGGGATGAAGACCTGATATTTCCCCTTGTACTAGGACTGCAACTCCTATTGGTTTTTGGAATAAACATTGATTTCAGAAATTTTACCTATACTTTAATGATGAAAGATGACACCCTGGACCAACCAAGTATTTCCCAAGCCACTGCTGAAACCATCCACCAATTGGTAAGCCAGGCAGATGTCGGAGACATCGAAAAAAAGACAGTTAGAACAACTACTTTTCAACTGGCCTACCATATGTACTGACATGCTAGGACACCTTAAAGTGATCCAACATCACATCACAGTGGATGAAGTGCCTGTTCGACAGAAAGAATATCCAGTCTCAGTAGCTTAACAGCAGTTTATTGAGTGAGTTGACCACCATGCTGAGTATGGGGATCATACAACCATCCACTTCTCCTTGGGCTGCAAAAAAGAATTCAGGAACTAGTCTCTGTGTAGATTATGGGGCTTTAAATGCAAAAACACATCTGGATGGATTTCCCAAGCCACAAGTCTCAGAAATTTTAGAGTCGTTGCATGGAGCCACAGTTTTTAGTACTTTGGACCTGAAGAGTGGCTACTGGCAAGTTC